TATATATAAAGTAAAAAATGCAAAATAAACCTTAAAATAAAAATAAGCATAAGAATTGAAAGTAAGCATTTAAAACTACTGTAGTAACCTGATATTTAGGACATGGAGACATATGCTCAGTGTTTTGCACTATGTACTTGGCAGCACCAAATAAAGTAGGGATGGTGGCACATGCCTGCAATCCCAGCACTCAGGAGGCAAAGGCAAGAAAATCAGAAATTTAAGGTCATTCTCAGATACCTATCAAATTTGAGGCCAGTCTGGGCTACATAAGACCATCTCAAAAAAGAAAAATACAAAACAGAACTGCCTAATATAGTACCTTGCCCAAAAGTAGATAGACAACAATACAGACTTTTTTCACTTCTGCCCCAGTGATATTTCTACTATCCCAATCTTTAATTAACATCTAATATTTCCATGAAAAATGGTAAGCCATACTAGCTGCTATACTTGGGCAGATCCTTGGCTATACAGACTAACTAGACTTAAACACATACTTTTTCTTCTCATTAACGTTAACACGTAAGACAGGAAGTTTAATGTGAACGAAAAAGAATAAAGATGCAAAGTTGTCACAAATAATGAACTCAACAGGTGACACTTAAAAGTGAATTTATGCCGGGTGTGGTGGCACACGCCTGTAGTCCCAGAACTCGGGAGGCAAGGCCAGCCTGGTCTACACGGTAAGTTCTAGGCCAGCTGGTACTACAGGGAGAACCTGTTTCAAAAAGACTGAAAAAAAAAAAAGTAAGTTTACAAAGCAAGTGCCCAGAAAGTGTCCAAACTTTCTTTGGACTTCTAAGACCATTCAAGGTAGTAGAATCTTAGAAATTTAATATACATCATGCTTTGGTCAAAACCAACATGGTATTTGGACAAAGAAGTAAACAGAATTTATCTTTCCTTGATTTTTTAACGTGGTGGTCCTTTTAATAAGGTGATGCTATACAGCAGTCCCTTCTGCATGAAATAACTACCATCATCACAACTTCGGCTGAGCCTGATCACTAAATATAGTCACAACTGGGCTTGTTGATAGTTGTGCTCATTCATTAAAGGAGTGCCAAGCAGGGTTACTGGACCCTCACCTGAGTATCCAGCCACTCTTCCCAGCCAACTAGTCCAGCCTTGGAAGACAAAAGAAAAATGAGGAAGAACCCAACAGAGGGATGCTTTTGGAAGCCCTTGTCAAGAAACTCCAATGGACTCTCACATGAACATTTGAAAATTGCCCTGTTCTGACTTTTCTTCTAGTTCCCTGTCTGGAACTTGTAATGCTAATTATTCTTGCCTTTACTTCTTCACAACTCTACTCATGATTCAAGAACTTTTTTTTCCCCTTAGAGATAAGAGCTATGCAATTTGGGAGTCTTTTAGACCCACTGAAGGGATACTCCAATTGCCTCACCTTGCATCCCTGTTCAGAAGAATCCAAGAGAAAAAAAAACAAAAAAACAAACATGGTGTTTGGACAAAGAAGTAAACAGAATTTATCTTTTCTTGATTTTTTAACATTCCTAAGATAAGGTTCTATACTATTATAACTGATTCAAGTTATATTTCTATGTCATATCAAATATATAAGGCTGTCCCTGCCAATTTACAGATTCACAAATGGCATAGAAGAAAAAAGTATCCTGAAAAAGTTAATAGGATCAAAAGCACTTGTCTGATGAAAAATTACTCCCATAGGAGTCAATAATAAAACAAAAAATGATCAACCAAGCCAGGCATTGTGGCATATATCTGTAATTCACTTAGAACACTGAGGCAGGAGGATCATAAGCTTGGGGCCTGTCTGGGCTACATAGTGAGATCCTAAGTAAAAACCAAAATGAAACAGAAACTCATACATTAAACTCATACCATATAGTCAGTTTTTATGTTTTTTTTTTCCATAAAATACAAAAATTAAGGTCTTTAATAAAAAAGGAAGTATGAAAGAAATTATAAAATACAGGCCAGCTGTAGCAGCACTCTAGTGGCAGAGGCAAGGTGGATCCAGGCCAGTCTGATTTACATAAGGAGTTCTAGCCCTGCCCCCCAAAGAAAACCAAAAAACAGCAACAACAAATGCAGGAAGTAGGTGTTGTGGTTCAGGCCTGTAATTATACTTACTTGAGAGGCTGAACCTGGAGGATTACAAGTTCAAGGCCTACCTGGGAAATTTAATGAGATAACTGTTTTAATTTTTTTTTGGAAGAGGATTTATTTGGTTCATAATTCCAGGCTCCAGTCCATCATGGCAGGGAAGTCAGAGTATCAGGAGCTTGAGGGAACTGCTCACATTATACCCACAGTCAGGAGCAGAAAGCAACTTCATTTCTCCTTTTATTTTGGACTTATTCATTGTTAAGACAGAGTCTAGCTATGCAGCCCTAGCTGGCCTGGAACTCAATATACAAACCATGGTGGGAGTTGGAGAGATGGTTCAGTGGTTAAGAGCACTGGCTGCTCTTGCATTAGACCCAGGTTCAGTTTCTAACACCACTTGGTGGCTGACAGTCTGTAACTCCAGTTCCAGGGGGATCTGATGCCCTCTTCTGACATCCATGGGCACTGCATGACAGGGGTGCACTTTTAACAAAAAAACCAGACTGGTCTTAACACTCAGAGATCTACCTGTCTCTGCCTCCCAGGTGCTCGGATTAAAGGCATGTGCCACCAAGTTCAGTTTTGGACTTTAAAAAAACATTCATTCATTCATTCATTCATTCATTCATTCGGGAGGGAGGGGCTTGTGTGGACGCCAGAGAACAACTTTTGGAAATTAGGTCTCTCCTTCTATCGTATGGGTTCCAGGGATGGAACTCGGGTCATCGGGCTTGACAATGAGTGCCACTACCCAATGAACCATCTCACCAACTGACTTCCTCCATTTTTTTTATATAGTCCTGGATACCCTGCCCAGGGAAATGATACTACCCACAGTGGGTGTGTCTTCCCACATCAATTAATGTAATTAAGATAACCCCTCACCGGGCTGGAGAGATGGCTCAGTGATTAAGAGCACTGGCTGCTCTTGCAGAAAACTTGGGTTCAGTTCCTGAAACCCATACAGAGGCTAACAACTATCTGTAATTCTAGTTCCAGGGCATCTAAGGCCCTCTTCTAGCCTCTGCAGGCACTGTACACATCTGACGCACTTATATACATACAAATAAAACATTCATACACATAAAATAAAAATAAACAAAATAATAATTAAATTAAATTTTAAACAGATAATCCCTTACAGTGCTAAAGAGATGGCTCAGTGGTTAAAAGCACTTGCTGCTCTTCCAGAGGACTAGGGTTTGGTTCCCAGAATGCATGTCAGGTAACTCAAAACCTGTAACTCCATCTCCAGTGAATCCCAAGCCCTCTTCTGGCCTCCACAATCACTGACATGCACATGGCATATTCACACACATACATATAAATTAAAAAAAAAAAAAATCTTAAGGATAATTCCTCACAAACATTTTCAGAGGTTCATCTTCCAGGTGATTAAAAAAAAGTGTAATTAATTAAAAAATCTGGGATGAAGCATGGTACTAGAATGATTAGCTAGCATGCACAAAGCTAGCACTGGAGAGTGGGGTGGTTATTGGGCTGGAGAGATGGCTTAGTGGTTAAGAGCACTGTTGTTCTTCCAGAGGACCTGAGCTCAGCTCCTAGCACCCGTGTACATTGCTGAACTTCAACTCCAGGGGATGAGAAGCCCTCTTCTGGCCTTCATGGCAACTGGCATGCACACACATACACACACACACACACACACATGTAAAAGTTTTTAAAATCTTTTTTAAAAAGGTCTAAGAGGGCTGGGTGTGGTGGCACAGACCTTTAATTCCAGCATTCAGGATGCAGGTGGATCTCTGAGTTGGAAGTCAGCCTGGTCTACATAGAGTTCCTGGCCAGTCCAGGTTACACAGTAAGACACTATCTTAAAAAAATAAATAAACAGTAGCTGGGCATGGTGGCCTAGGCCTTTGATCCCAGCACTCAGGAGGCAGAGGCAGACAGATATCTGTGAGTTTAAGGCCAACCTGGTCTACCTAGTTGAGTTCCAGGACAGCTGGGGCTACAGGGAGACCCTGTATCAAAAAGACCAAATATATAAAATAAAAAATAAGAAAATAAATAAAGACTATATTAGTTATAGAGGTTTCTCAACCAGTGAGAGCCCTCAGGAGCAGAGGCAGGAGGATCACTGCAAGTTCAAGGTCAGCCTGGGCTACAGTGGAACACTGTCTCAAAAAATCATAATCTCCAGGTGTGGTGGTGCATGCCTTTAATCCTAGCACTTGGGAGGCAGAGGCAGGCAGATCTCTGTGATTTCAAGGCCAGCTTGATCTACATAGTGAGTTCCAGGGCAGGTGGGCTACAGGGAGACCCTGTCTCAAAAACATCAAAAAAAAAAAAAAAAAAATCATAATGAACAGGACAGACAGAAATCTGATAAAGGTATATATTTTTATGTTAGATCATATATGTGTATTCTTATGTTCACATACAACACCAAATGCTCACTTTTCTTTTACTGCAAACTTGTTACTTATCTATTACTTTTCTTACCTCTTGTGTTAATTTTGGTATGGACCTCAAGCTGGGGATCACTTGAAACCATACAAGGCCACCAAGGATAGGTTCCCACCTTGGACCAAACAAGATCGCCAACCTGGAACTTAACAGCAGTGGACATTTCTGTTGTTGGAACAGAAGAAAGTATTGGCTGAACCTACAGGGAAAGGTCACAAAACTCCATCAGAAGAGAATTTTTTTAAAGAAAGAAAGAAAACAAATCAAAACAGTGTACTATATATAAAGCACATTTAAAGTGCTTACAAGGAATGGAGAGAAGATTCACATTTGTCAAACAAGGGTGAGGAACTGAGTTAAAATCCCCAGAACCAGGGCTAGAGAGATGGCTCAGTAGTTAAGAGCACTGGCTGTTCTTGCAGCATCCCAGCACCCACATGGAGGCTAACAACTGTCGGTAACTACTGTTCCAGGGGATTTGACACCCTCTGTCCTCTGTGGGCATTGCACAACACAGGTGCACTTGCATACATATACATGCACACATTACACACACACACACACACACACACACACACACACACACACACAATAAAAATTTTTAGAAAGAAAAAATTTAGATGCTTAAAAAAAGAATTCCCAGAACCCATGTGAAGCTGGGACATAGTGCACATCTGCTACCCCAGTGCTCCTATGAGAGACAAGAGAATCTCCAGATGCTCATGGTCAGCTGCCCTGACTCACACAGCGGTGAACAACAAAGAGACCACGTCACAAACAAGGTGCAAGGCAAGGACTGACACCCAAGGTTGTCTTCTGACCACCACACATACCTGCACTCACACACATGAACCCATACATGTACACAAAGTGCTTGCAATGTAAAATTTATCTTGAATTATACCCTTCTCTGATATTTACTATCTTTAACTAGCAAAGGGTGAGAAATCTGAAAAAATTAATAAGCCCATTCACAATACTGAAAACAGGACTGATGGTTTCTGTTACCAAGTTAATGATAATAAAGCATCTTGAGAGTTCAGATCATGGTTTTTAAAAGGAAAACAATTCACAGAAAATACCTACTCCTAAAACACGGTCTAAGATTTATTATCCAATTTCTGAAACAAAGACAGCTATGGCGCTTTTTAACAACACATTGCTAAGACTCGGTTGCTTCACTCACACCTCTTTCTTATATCACACCTGGTCACTGTATTCAACAAAGAGACTCACCGGGATGGCCTCCTTGAGTATGGGTTCTTCTCTTGGTTTATCTGGTGCAGGATCCACCCTCTCATTTGGTCTCTAGGTGAAAAAACGTAGGGGATAGAATAAAGTGGCAGTAAATCAAAGAACTTGGATATACATAAAAACTCAGAGAAAACTAAAAGCAAGAGCATAAAGAACATGGAATAAGACCATGTATTCAAACACATAGTGTTGTGTATTAATGTTCATCTTCCCATTCCATACCATAATTATAGCCCCTACTGCATATTTTATCACTTAAAAAACAGGTTTTCTTACATACATAGGATTAGGGTTGACTTCTAGGGATTGGATAACCTATCGGGGGCTCCTCCCTAGAGAAGACTGATTTTCACTCTCTTAGTGGCCACTGATTGCCTGTAGCTCTTCTTCTGGAGATAGGACCCTGTGCCCTATTCATGTTGGCATGTCCACTGGTGGTGTCATTATGCAGATCTTGTTCCACAGCCATAGTTGAGATTTCATGGGTACAGCATCCCTGCCATGTCTAGAAGACACTATCTCACAGCAGGTGTCCTGGGCTCCTGGCTTTTTGTTTTGGGGTCTTTTGGTCTTTTTGAGACAGGGTCTCCCTGTAGCCCCAGCTATCCTGGAACTCACTGTGTAGACCAGGCTGGTCTTGCAGTCACAGAGATCTGCCTGCCTCTGCCTCCCAGGTGCTGGGATTAAAGGTCCATGCCACCACGCCTGGCTAAAAATTTTCTAAGTAAACTGTTTTTTTCCTTTTGAAAATTGCATTTATTATTTGCATGTGTGATGTATGTGTGCATACATGGCGGCTAACAACCATCCCTAACTCCAGTTCCAGAGGATCTGACGCCCTCTTTTGATCTCTCTGGGCACTGCATGACACGGGTGCACTTACACACATGCAGGCATAACACTCACACATAAAATAAAAATAAATACACCAGGGCTGGAGAGATGGTTCAGCAGTTAAGAACACTGGTTGTTCTTGCAGAAGACTGGGGTTTGAATCCCAGCACCCATATGGCAGCTAACAACTGTCCATA